TGTTCAGTGGTTGCAGTGGAGGATGTTTGTGCCTGCGGAAGTCTACCACCAGCTCCTTGGTTTTACTAGTGTTGATCTGGAGGTAGTTCAGCTGGCACCAGTCCACAAAGTCATGGGTAAGTTCTCTGTACTCCCTCTCATCCCCATCAGTGATGAGGCCGACTATTGCAGAGTCATCAGAGAACTTCTGAAGGAAGCACTGGGTGGAGTTGTGGGAGAGGTCTGCAGTGTAGATGGTGAAGAGGAACAGAGGCAGAACTATTCCCTGTGGGGCCCCCGTACCTCAGACAACCCTGTCCGACACACCGCCCTGAGTTCTCACGTACTGTGGTCGGTCAGTGAGGTAGTCCACCATCCATGTTGTTAGGTGATGGTCCACTTACATTCTCCAGCTTGTCCTTCAGAATGGTCTTGAAGGCAGTGGAGAAATCAAAGAACATGATACTCACAGTCACCAGGTGAGAGAGGGAACTATGCAGGTGAATGATGGCATAATCTGCTGCTCTCCGAGATTAGACCTTTGGGACATTACATCAACAAAAGAAAGAAAAAAAAACACATAAAAAAATTAAGTTAAAAAAGTAAAATGGGAATAAAAACAGAATGCAGGGTGCTGACATGCTGAGCAGGTGACCCATAAATATTAAAAAGCTCCAGCTCAGGCTTGGATTCAGAAAACAAAGCTGCTTTCTATATCTCCATCGTCAGAGAGCTGCAGCTGTCAGAATGTTTTCTCACAGACGTGATTTATTTCACTACCACCCACAGACATACACACACGACACACACAAAATCCCTGTCCCTCCTTTTTCTCACTACACTATACATTCACTGTCTTATGCAATCAATTAATGATCAGTAATTTTTCATTCATCTGGAATTCATGATATTGGTTATTATTATATTATGTCTTGAACGGATTGGTGCAGCGGCTGCAGCGATGCGGACGATCTACGCCCCTACCGTCACCTATGGCCATGAGCTGTGGTTAGTGACTGAAAGAACAAGATCGCAGATACAAGCGGCAGAAATGGGCTTCCTCCAAAGGGTGGCGGGCCTGTCCCTTAGAGATAGGGTGAGAAGTTTGGCCATTCGGGAGGGGCTCAGAGTAGAACCGCTGCTCCTTCACATCGAAAGGAGCCAGTTGAGGTGGTTCAGAGATCTGACAAGGATGCTTCCTGGGCGCCTCCTGGGTGAGGTTTTCTGGGGAGGCCCAGGACATGCTGGAGAGATTATATCTCTTGGCTGGCCTGGGAAGGCCTTGGTGTTCCCCCGGACAAGCTTGAGGAGGTGGCTGGGGAAAGGGAGGTCTGGGCTTCTCTGCTTGGGCTGGGCTGCCCAGGAGACTGGATTTTGTTTCTCTCTTTCCTCGGGTGCTTTCATTATTACCAGGGTGACAGCTGAACTTGACTTGACAGTATGGGCCCAATGTATAATCTGGGAATAAACACTGGAGGGAGCAAAAATACAGTTAAGTGATCTTTTTTCCTGGGTCAGACTCATCCTGCTGAGCATTTTGCACAAGTTTCTTTCCATCTCCCAGATTAGTGAGCTGATGATGGGTGATGGACCAGAAGGATTGGAGCACTAGGTGCCGTCAGAGGTTCAGATCCAGGTCTGTAGGCAAAAGCAAGATTAAATCTAGTAAAGAACAGGATCCACTTGGCTTAATGAGCATGGAGTTGCTTAGCAACGGCACTAAAGGATTTTAATGGTCCATCCAAACAACAAAAGGTTTCTCAGCTCCTTCCAGCAATTCTCTCTATTCATCCAGAGCATTATAATTTTGTTCACACAGACAATTGGAGAAAAAGGCACAAGGATGCATTTTCTTTCTCATTCCTGAGGGAAGAGAAGAACAAACAACAACAAGAACAAAACCAAGAAAGCCCAAGCACTGGAGATGCTTCCGAGTTACCGGTACGGGCCAGGCAACACTGCCTACACTGTAGCTGGATCTGCCTTAATCGGCCATTTCTCTAAGATGAAACCAAGAAAAGAGACTGAATCGCATTTCTCACCTTTGATATAGATTTTATTTTCTAGGAAGTGCTGCAGCACTATATTACTGCACTTCTTTTTTCTTAGCTAATTCCACTGATGTAAGTCTAAGTTTTCACATATGTTAATTTAAAACTGTAGTTTTAAGTAACAAGTTAATTCATGCCTTAAGTGGGAGACTGAGATGATGACCAGAAGGTTTAGAGCAGCAGTGATCAGAGAGATGCAGAACACCTCAATGTACAGGAGTACAGCTTTGGACCAGTAAAGCGTCATCCTCCTGCAGGAACTGTTGAGGAGTTCTGGAAAACAAAGCTCAGCTTTATTTTGTATCTCCATCAGTGAGCTGCAGCTCCTGCAGATCAGATCAGGTGGCTGAGATCAGAAAGGACCCTCCAGGCCATTCCCCTACAGTGCTTCCTGTAGAGCTTCTGGCTGGCAGTTCAGACCTATTGATACGCTGGGCTGATCTGACCACCCTCCATATGCTTTGCACTCCAATGCATTGAAACTGCCAGACAGTGTTGGGAAGGTTACTTTTAAAATGTATTCCACTACAGATTACAGAATGCATGGCCTAAAATGTAGTTAGTAACGTATTCTGTCAAGTTACTCAATGTGAGTAACGTATTCCGAATACTTTAGATTACTTACAATATTGTCATTCTTTTTACAGTTACATGAATGTGCTATTTAGTGATGGGAATTCTGGCTCTTTTTAGAGAACTGACTCTTTCAGCCCTGCTCATCAAAAAGAGCTGGCTCTTTCGGCTCCTCAGGTTGTTTTGTTGCTTTAATTAATTTATTATCAAGAACAATATAAAGTTATGCACAAAAGGAATTACTAATGTAAAATAACCATGATTTTTAATATATGTTTATATATAAATATATATAGTGGCCCCTAGAGACAAAGCATGTACAAACTCCAAAACAAGTTCAAAGTCCAAAACACATTGCTAGTGTTAACTGAACTTCCAAAACAAAGCTACCTAGATCACTTAAATTACACAATTGAAAGTATATGTGTACTGTTTGTGTATTTATACACAAGCACTCATATATATTCAAATAATTTAAAAAAAATGTTCATTTACCTGTTATATATACAAAAAACAACTATTTACATTTCAACTTTTAACTATTTAAATTTTCAGCTTTTTCCTTTGAAATAAATTTAAAGTGAAACAACACAAAACACTGCAAACCACAACACAATAAAATATAAATAAAATATGAAAACAAAAAGAACATGCATATTCTCTGTCATATAGGCCTGCATGAATAAACTTTCTGAATCCTTTATCATCTGCAACTGAAAATAGTTGTGGTCATTTCAAGATGGCCTAACACATAAAACAGGAAAGTACCGCCGTGTATTCCATTTATTTCAACAAAGTAACTGTATTCTAATTATCACCTTTTTAAATGATAACTGTAGGAGAATACAGTTACTCATATTTTGTATTTTAAATACGCAATGTCGGTATATGTATTCCGTTACTCCCCAACACTGCTGCCAGATAGAATATGCTCAATGGTGTATTGACAGAAGTTGGTGAGTATTCTCTAATCCATGCCAAACCTCCTCAGCCACCGCAGAAAGAAGAGCCGCTGTCTCACTGCTTTTGTGATCACATCAATATGATGTGACCAGCTCAGATCCTCATTAATGTTAATCCCCAGGAACCTGCAGCATGTGACTCTCTCCACCTCTGTTTCCTCAATGTCAAAAGGAGTGTTCCTGCTGCCCTGCAGTCTCTTATATTCCACAATGAGCTCCTTTGTCTTGCTGACGTTGAGCAGCAGGTTGTTATCTGGGCACCATGATGTCAGGGCTTTCACCTGTGCTCTGTAAGCATCTAAAACAGCAGCATTTTTACATTAAGGACAATGGTTACTATAAACAGAGTACTGTACAGTTATTAAATTAAATAAGAAACCTAACCCCTGAATGAATCAGCACATCTACAACCGCAGCTTTCTACCACCTTACACGGATGGTGTAAGGTGTAATGTGAACCCAAAAATGGAGGGCTAGGAGTGCCAAAATGAATTAATTAAATAGGCCATTAAATAATTATATCAATGTTTCATTAATTCATTAAAATGGAAAATAATTAATTAAATAAATATTTCAATAATGAATACCCATTCATTTCATTTAAAATGTTTAATAAATTATTAATTTATTTCAAATATGTTTATTAATTATTGACACATTTATTTAATTATTTAATGGTGTATTTATTTGATTCATTTTGGCACTTCTGACCCTGCGGCTGTGTTCTTGAATAATTTTATTTGTTAGCCTCACTCATCAAACTCAGGGGGTGGGGTTAATGCTGCCACTGCAGCCTGTCTAACATCTGATTGGTTACTGTGCAAAGTAAGTCAAGACAAGTTGATCCTAGATAATCGATTGCTATGAACTGGTGTTAGTATGGACTTGGGGCAGCCGGGTATCCCAGAATGCATTTCTAATCACAAGCGGCAATAAACTTTTACACCAACTACACTTTTAATAATGTTTTATCTGAGAATGTAGTGACATAATCTTCACATATCTGGTCAGGTTGTCAACATAGAACATGTTTGCAAAAGCGCTCCAATGTCTTCGGAGATGTCGCTAGCTTCACTAACAGTCAGCTTACAGAGTGTACTGAGCTCACAGCCCCGGTGTTCCAGGTTAACTGTTTTTTTACATTAACCAGATAGATTTGTTTACATATTCCACTCTCTGTGTTCCAGATGTTGCATCCACAGATTTTCATTTTCACTGAATGGTTATTTCTTTCTGTTAGTGTGTCATCATGCGGTTTAACAAGATTAAAGACCTCAGCAAAAAAGGTCTCCATCCTCTCCAGCTCCTACAAATGCATACAAGCATAAATATTATCTTCAGGCAACAATGAAATAACTTTACTCAAAATTTTACCTGGTCTCGTGTCTCTGTGTTTCTGTAACATAAATAACGAGCTGACATTTTCTTCCATACCATGGATCAGCTCGACAGACCTTCAGTGTACCTGCACACATCCTGTTCACCTGTCAGCTGTTTAACACCTGCTGCTGATTCAGGAAACACGCACACGCTACCTGGTGGTAGTCACAGTTTAAGTGGGCAGCTGCTGTCCCATATAACATAATGTTGGCGCAATATGCTGCACAAAATAAGTAAATGTAGTTTGTTCCCTGAGTGCAGAGCTGCTGGAGCTTGTGTTTCTCTCAGAGTGACTGCTCTCCTTTGGAGACGATAAACGGGATATAACCATTGATCATTTCTGTGCGCTTTATCCCGTGCTTTTTTAAATGGGTAGCAGCAGTGGAGTCTGAGAAAGCAGCTCTACATCCCTCTCCGATATGATCACATGCCAGCGTGGAACAGTGTTCAGCGATAGCTAATGCTACAGTGGCCTCTGTCTTTTTTGCCGAGTCAGTGTTTTAAAATCATAAATGGCAACTTGTTTTGGGTGGAACTGTTATAACGCTTTTCCTTTTGAGTATGTTTTTGAGTTGTCATGTGTTTTTTTCACATCACTCAGTTTGATGTAGAAATTAGCCTTGCAATACGGGCAGTATTCACGTGAATCATCTCCAATAAACCACTTCAACCACCCCTTAAATTCAGGGTTTGATTCCAACTCTTTTCTGTATTTTGAGTGTACAGTTTAGACTGAGAGATCATGAGCTAGCTAGCTAGATGTTTAGCTATATATCACAGAGAGGGACACAGAATGGACGAAGTAGTTAGTGACTGTGTCATTAGAATTATGTATTTTAGTACATTGATTTATTTTAGACAAAGAAAAATGTACATTTACCCTGCTCCCAATGCAGGGCTGGAGCAGCAGCTTTGGGTGATTCATTTGCAGTTTGGACACGTAGGGGTGAACATTTCCCACTCTGACAGCAGCTAAGTTGCTAAGTTGGCAACACTGGCGTAGACTGAACCCATATTTGACGTTTGTTTTTATATCTAATATTTGCTCTCAAACTTTTAAACAGCAGCAAATCTGCAGCTGAGGGAATAAAAATGCAAATTGTCAGAGCAGGTTTGATCGTTTTGATTATAAATCACCAAACAGTGCGGCGCATTATCACAGGAACATGCCTGTATTTGGTCATTTATTAAATTTAGCCTATAAATGTTATTATACTTGATTTGAATCTGCTGCTGAATCTTTAACACTGATGGAAATGCAAATAACACAGAACACACAGCATGCGATTGTTCAACCAATCACATTCATTCCACTTTGATCTGCAAAAAACGGAAGCGTTCATCTGCTTTACAACTGTATTGTGTTTGACTGGTATATTTTTATGTTCTTTATGCTGTAGATTTTCACATCTCTGGAATAGTTGGCAGTAATAAGGATCATTTACTGTAAAAGAACACATGACCAGTGAATTCGATTTGTAGATGTCTATTAGTTTGATGCTGCTGACACTTTCATGTGACCGCGCGGGGAAACCCTGGGTTAACTCGGAGATCTGATATCCAGCTTTGTGTGTTACCCTGGTCCCAGTGTTAGGATCAGTGATTCCAGTGCAAATAGCCTCTGTCTTGACAAACCAACCAGATATCTAAAGATTAAACCACTACATTCTCTGGTATAAAAATTAAAAGTGTATTTGGTGAGACACAAACAGGGTTTTTCAAAGTACAATTCAGTTAGTTTCCACATGTCCGTTGTTTGAGCTGAGAATGAAAACTAAAAGAATGGCCACCAGGCCAAAGCAATGATTTTGACTTGATTAGCATTAAACTCGCCCCCTGAGTTTGAAGATTGACGCTGACTGATAGAATAAATTCTTAAAGACAAACGTAGGGGCAGAACTGTCCCTGAAACATTTAATTTAATTCACTCATTTTGTTACTCCTGGCCCTCCATATAGAAGAGAGATTCCTAAATCTGAAAAGAAGGCTGATCAACATGAGTGGCTAATTACATGATTCAAAATGTTTTTTTTAGAAATTACATGTTAAAATAATTATTAGTATGTTAACATGATGGTCTTCTTGTCTACTATCACAAACTGTTTGTGATGTTAAAAACAAAAGACAGTTGAAGAGGTGAAATGACAAGGCAGTCAGAATTCATTGTCTGTTTAAGCAACACAGTAAAAGGTGATTTCATTATTTCTTTAAAACAGAAAGTTACATAAGATGAATGCTCTTCATGTTTACCTAACCATTTAAACAACTTTCATTTCTTACTGGAAACTGACACATCTATATGTTCATCATTTTAAAAAACAATTTTATATTTCCAGATTTTGGACACATCAATTTACTGAAAAAAAATCTTTCTGCAGATTTCAGTCAGGTTCCTCCACATTGTCTCTATAGTATGTTGGCTTCACTACTGTTATGCTTGAATATCTGCAGGGTGATAATAAGTTTAACAGCATTTCTAAACCAGGGGTAAAACAGGGTATAGATCAGTGGGTTTAAACAAGCGTTAAAATAAACAATGATCAAAAAAGTCGCAGATGAAGCTTTGACCACATTGCCGTCAACAAGAGAGTAGAAGTAAAATGGGCAAATACTTGCCAGGAACACAATTACAAGAACTCCAAGGTTCCTGGCTGCTTTCAGCTCAGATTTGTTTGATTGATTCAATGAACGCTGAAGTGTGACAGCTGTAACATGAGAGCGCATGGCACGGGCCTGAGACACTGCCACTACAAATACTCTTGTATACAGAACAATGATGATAATAACTGGAACAAAAAAACATAAAACAATGTCAACAGTTCCAGTTATATCTTCAATAAAAAACACACACTCTCCATAGCAGGAAGCATACCTGCCTGGCTTTATCAAGACATCCTTTGTGTAAAGACTCATGTAGAAAATAGCATAAAACCAACACAGACAAACACTGAGTTTGACTCGTGTCACAGTGATTCTGGTGGGGTAATGCAGAGGGTCACAAATAGCCACATAGCGGTCAACTGATATAAAAACAATAATTTCAATTGAAGCATTCATAAGAATGCCGCTCAGATAAATATAAAGTGAACACATGAGATCACCAAATACCCAGCAGGCCGTGTTTTTGAAGATTTCTACCGGCAGCAACAGAAAACCCACAAAAAAGTCAGAGACAGCCAGAGAGAGGAGGAGGATGTTACTGGGAGTGTGGAGCTGCCTGCAGGGAGACAGAAAATTACAAATTACCCATTAATCATGTCAAATGTCTTCAATGGAAATGTTCCATTGCTGAGGCATGGTGCAATTAAGGAAATAAAACTATACAGTTATGATTAGGTACACACAGGACATTCATCTTGACATAATTCAAACATTACTGAAGAATATGATGTCAATGTAACATTATTTTCTAAAAGTTGAACTTTAGTTTCATCTGAAAGGTTAATCTCTGCCTGAAGTGGTAGACTGAGATGATGATGAGCAGATTAAGAGCAGCAGTGATCACAGAGATGGACGAAAGCCCAACGTTCAGGAGCACCGTTTTGGACCAGTGAAGTGTCGGCTTCCTGCAGGAACTGTTCGGTAGCTCTGGAAAACAGAGCTCTGCCTCTGGATGCATCTGGATCTCCATCATCAGGTTCCTGCAGCTGTCTGGACAGAACTTTCTGTCATACAGCAAATTTATCTCCTTCTACCATACCTCCCATCCACTGTTGTGCTCCCTGGAGAATGATATCCTTCCTCCTTTTGTCCACACAACCTCTTTTACTTTTCACTCATTCACTGAAGCCCTAGTTTCTCATCCAAACATAGTTATCACAATTAATATTTATTTATTCTGGTTTTAATGACCAAAAACAAAAATTTTGCCTTGAAAAAATATAATAATTCCTCAATGCTGATGTTAGTTTTATATACATAATCAAGATAGTGTTGATCAGATATTTGTTGTTGCAACAACATTCCCATCACACGGTGTCATATGATGCTTTTGTAACATATGTGTAAAACTGACTTAGCAGAGAGACTTCAATTACCACCATAATTCAGATAATGTTAAAAGACCGATAGAGTTTTTATTTTAACTATCTACAGCGTTGTGCCAGAATCAGTAATCAGAAATGGAATTCTGAATCAATTGATAAGAGAGACTCAGAGTTTTTTATTGTCATTGTGCAGTTTCTTGCACAGCACGATAAGATAAGATAAGATAAGATAAGATAAGATAAGATAAGATAAGATAAGATAAGATAAGATAAGATAAGATAAGCTTTATTAGTCTCACATGTGGGAAATTTGTTTTATTACAGCAGAAAGTGGGCAGTGCAAAGTTACATAGCAAAATTAGAGAGACTGGAATAGGATAACAATAAGAATAAGATACTGTACACAACTGTACACTATAGGATTAAATAAAATAAAATACTGGCTACAATAGAATAAAACAGAATAGAAATGCTATATACAACTGAGTAAAATACAATGTTGTCAGAAAAAGAGTATCGCACAATTGCTATTGAACATATGTGGATGTATGTGTTTGGTCAGTTGCGGAGTCTTTGTTGTGGAGTCTGACAGCAGTGGGGAGGAAAGACCTGCAAGATCTCTCCATCCTGCAT